CATCCCCCTCCTCGCTCCCACCGCCGCTTCCAGCCGCAGGGACGGAGCCGGCTCCCTGGCTCCGATAGAGCCGCGTTACCCGCGCGGGGGCCGCATCCGGCCTCGCTGGCGCCCGGCCCCATCGCTCGCCCCGCGGCGCCGGCTCTAACCTGGTTACGGGGATAAAAGGCGGCTGCGGGGCCGGGGAGCGGCGGAGCCGCGGCCATGAGCGGGCTCTCGGCGCTGCGGGAGCGCTACGAGCGCTTCGACCCCCGCGCGTACCTGGACAACAACTACGGCCCCCCCCGCGCGGACTTCTCCTCCGAGGAGTTCGTGGTGCCCTGGAAGCTGCGGTGCCTCGCGGACACCTTCGGTACCGGTGAGGGCCGTGGGGAGCCCGCTGTGGGGGGGACGGGAATGGGGCAGGGAGGGAGGGAGCAGGCACCGTGCCCCGCAGCGACTTCCCTGTGCCCTGGGGAGGATGGAACTCGATGGGGTGGGGTGGGGTGGGATGGGGTGCTGAGATGGGATGGGATGTTGGGATGTTGGGGTGGGATGGGATGCTGAGATGGGATGTTGGGATGGGATGGGATGTTGGGATGGGGTGCTGAGATGGGATGGGATGTTGGGATGGGATGGGATGTTGGGATGCTGGGATGGGATGTTGGGAGGTTGGGGTGGGATGGGATGTTGGGATGGGATGGGATGGGATGTTGGGAGGTTGGGGTGGGATGTTGGGGTGGGATGGGATGGGATGGGATGTTGGGAGGTTGGGGTGGGATGGGATGTTGGGATGGGATGGGATGTTGGGATGGGATGCTGAGATGGGATGTTGGGATGGGATGGGATGCTGAGATGGGATGTTGGGATGGGATGGGATGTTGGGATGGGATGGGATGGGATGGGGGTGTTGGGATGGGATGTTGGGATGGGATGGGATGGGACGTTGGGATGGGATGTTGGGATGGGATGTTGGGATGGGATGTTGGGATGGGATGCTGAGATGGGATGTTGGGATGGGATGCTGAGATGGGATGTTGGGATGGGATGTTGGGATGGGATGGGATGTTGGGATGCTGGGATGTTGGGATGGGATGCTGAGATGGGATGCTGGGATGTCAGGGTGGGATCCCACTGCGTCCGTCTCCTTCCCCAGGTGAGATCCATGGGCGGACGCTGATCGACGTGGGCTCAGGCCCCACCATTTACCAGCTGCTCAGCGCCTGCGACCACTTCGAGGAGATCGTGGCCACCGATTACCTGGCCGTGAACCGGGAGGAGCTGCGGCGCTGGGTGCGGGGGGACCCCGGCACCTTCGACTGGAGCCCCTTCATCCAGCACGTCTGCAAGATCGAGGGGCGCGGGTAGGGGTGCACGGGATCCGTGGGGGGGGGCCTGTGGGAGCGCATCCCCACATCGCATGGGATCACAGCCCCACGGCCCTGAAGATGCTGGGCTGGTCCCTGCGGGAAGCTGTCCCTAAATCCCATGACATCACAGATCCACATCCCTTTGGATGCTGGGCTGATCTCCTGCACCATTGTGTCCCCAGACCCCACGGGATCACAGCCCCCATATCCTGGTGGCTGATCCCTGCAGGATCCTGAGCCCAAATCCTATGGGCTCCCATCCCCACATCCCTGCAGGTGCCAGGTTGATCCCCGCAGCGCCCCAGCCCCACAGGGATCATTGGCAGGAGAAGGCTGCTCCCTGCAGGATCCAATCCCCATCCCCATGAGCTCCCATTGGCACATCCCCATAGACCCTGGCTGCTCCCCACAGGATCCCATCCCCATGGGCTTCCATCCCCACATCCCCACAGGCCCCGGCTGCTCCCTACAGGATCCCATCCCCATCCCCACGGGCTCCCATCCCCACATCCCTGCAGGTACCAGGCTGCTCCCTGCAGGATCCTGTCCCCATCCCCAACCCCATGGGTTCCCATCCCCACATCCCTGCGGGTACCAGGCTGCTCCCTGCAGGATCCCATCCCATCCCAATCCCCATCCCCATCCCCATCCCCATCCCCACATCCCTGCATTGCCAGGTTGATCCCCACAGCGCCCCATCCCCACAGGGATCATTGGTAGGAGAAGGCTGCTCCGTGCAGGATCCCATCCCCATAAGCTCCCATTGGCACATCCCCATAGGCCCTGGCTGCTCCCTACAGGATCCCATCCCCATCCCCACGGGCTCCCATCCCCACATCCCCGCAGATACCAGGCTGTTCCCTGCAGGATCCCATCCCCATGGGCTCCCATCCCCACATCCCCGCAGGTACCCAGCTGCTCCCTGCAGGATCCTGTCCCCATCCCCACATCGCTGCAGGTGCCAGGCTGCTTCCTGCAGGATCCCATCCCCATGGGCTCCCATCCCCACATCCCCGCAGGTCCCAGGCTGCTCCCTGCAGGATCCCGTCCCCATCCCTGTGTGCTGCCATCCCCACATCCCTGCAGGCACCAGACTGCTCCCCACAGGACCCCATCCCCATGGGTTCCCATCCCCACATCCCCGCAGGTTCCTGGCTGCTCCCCGGAGGATCCCATCCCCATCCCCATCCCCATATCCCCACAGCTACCAGGCTGCTCCCTGCAGGAACCCCTCTCCATCCCCACATCCCTGCTCCCCGCAGGGTCCCATCCCCATCCCTGTGTGCTCCCATCCCCACAGGTACCCGGCTGCTCCCTGCAGGACCCCATCCCCATCCCTGTCCCCACATCCCAGGACCCCATCCCCAAACCCACATCCCTTCAGGTCCCAGACTGCTCCTCACAGGACCCCATCCCCATCCCCATCCCCACATCCCAGGACCCCATCCCCACATCCCTTCAGGTCCCAGACTGCTCCCCGCAGGACCCCATCCCCATCCCCATCCCCACATCCCTTCAGGTCCCAGACTGCTCCCCGCAGGACCCCATCCCCATCCCCATCCCCACATCCCTTCAGGTCCCAGACTGCTCCCTGCAGGACCCCATCTCCATCCCCATCCCCATCCCCATCCCCACATCCCTTCAGGTCCCAGACTGCTCCCCGCAGGACCCCATCCCCACGAGCTCCCATTCCCACATCCCTTCAGGTCCCAGACTGCTCCCCGCAGGACCCCATCCCCATCCCCATCCCCATCCCCATCCCCATCCCCACACCCCTTCAGGTCCCAGACTGCTCCCCATAGGACCCCATCCCCACATCCCCCTTTCCTCTCCCCATTAACCCCCCCCAGGGAGCCGTGGCAGGACAAGGAGCGGCGGCTGCGGGCCCGTTTGCGCCGGATCCTCCCCATCGACGTCCACCGACGGGAGCCGCTCGGGGCCCCGCTGCAGCCGCGGGCGGACGCGCTCCTCTCCGCCTTCTGCCTGGAGGCCGTGAGCCCGGACCGCGCCGCCTTCTCCCGGGCGCTCACGAACGCGGCTTCGTTGCTGCGGCCCGGGGGCCACGCGGTGCTGCTGGGGGCCCTCGGGGAGTCCTTCTACGTGGCGGGGCCGGCGCGGCTCCCGGTGCTGCCGCTCGACGAGGGCGACGTCCGCCGGGCACTGAGCGGGGCCGGCTTCGAGCTGCGGCAGCTCCGCTCCTACGCGATGCCCCCGGCGCTGCGGACCGGGGTGGACGACGTCGAGGGCGTCTTCTTCGCCCATGCGCTGAAGGCGGGGGGAGAGTGAGGGAGGAAGGGGGGGGGTCCGCGTGTGCCCCGTCCAGCACTGAGCACTGAGCCCCCCAATAAAGGGCTGAGGTGCGTGGAACAGGGGGGTGTTGGGGGGGGGCTGCAGGGGGGTCAGGGATGGGGGAGGCTGCGATGGGGGTGAGGAGAGAGGATGGGGAGGATATGGGGTGCATGGAGGGGGGATATGGGGCACACAGGGGGGTAAAGGGTGAGAGAAATGGGGTGCAAAAGACACTGAGAGCATCATGTTCACCCATGCACGGAAGCCAGTGGAAGGATGAGGGGTCCAGTGTCCCCCCCGAGCACTGAGCCCCCCAATAAAGGGCTGAGGTGCGTGGAACAGGGGGGTGTTGGTGGGGGGGCTGCAGGGGGTCAGGGATGGGGGAGGCTGCGATGGGGGTGAGGAGAGAGTGAGGATGGGGGGGATATGGGGTACACAGGGGGGTAAAGGGTGAGAGAAATGGGGTGCACAAGACACTGACAGCATCATCATCGCCCATGCACAGAAGCTGGGGGAAGAATTAGGGGTCCCCCCCAGCACGGATGTGGGGTCCCTGAGCCACCCAATAAAGGGCTGAGGTGCATGGTACAGGGGGGTGTTGATGGGGTCGGGGGGCTCAGGGATGTGGGAAGCTGCAATGGGGGTTAGGACAGAGTGAGGATGGGGGGGATATGGGGTGCATGGAGGGGGAAAATGGGGCACACAGGGTGAGAGAAATGGGGTGCAGAAGACACTGACAGCATCATCTTTGCCCGTGTGCAGAAGCCACTGGAAGAATGAGGGTCCCGTCCCCCCCCCCCAGCACCCCAAAACACTGATGTGGGGCCCCCAGTGCCCCCAAATAAAGCCCGAGGTGCACGGTACAGGGGGGTGTTGGTGGGGGTGTGCAGGGTTACCCATAGGGGCTGGAGGGGTCAGGGGGGCTGCAGTGGGGGCTAGGGAGGGAGTAAGGATGGGGTGGGCAGTGAGGGGGATATGGGGTGCACAGGGCAAGCGAAACGGGGTGCAGGATGTGGTGGTTGTGGGGTGCACAGCACAGATATGGGGTGCAATGGGGGGGGGGGCACAGGGGGAACAAGAGCCCAGCCCAGGTTGGATTTGAACTCACCTTTATTCACATCCCACAAAACACTCAGGTTTGGGGGGGGGGGGGGCACAGACCCTTTGGCAAGGGGGGCCCCAAGGCACCGCTCCAGCCCCACACATTACACACAGCCCCCCACATCCCCCTGCAAAAGCCGGCCAGCAGCCAGCAGGGCCCCCCCCCCCCAAAGGAGATGTGGGGCACAGGGGGGGGTGTGGGGAGAAGAACAAACCTCAGAAGGCAACCGGGGGGCCAGAGGGGGGGAGCAGGGGGGGGGGTGCTTGGCACAGGGCAGATCTGGGGGGGCACAAAGGGCCACGTGTGCCCCCCCATCACCCCAGCTCTAATCCGCTTTGAGGAGGTCGGAGTTGGCCTTGAGGAGGTAGAGGCTGTCGTCCATCAGGAAACTGGGGGGAGGGAAGAGGGGGGGCTCCCACCAGCACCCATGGGCAGGGAGGGAGCCCCCAGCACCCTGATGTTAAGAGGGGGGTACCCAGCGCCCAATGCGGCAAAGAGGGGGGGTCCCAGTGCCCCGATGTCTAAAGGGGGGCACTGAACACCCCATGCACCAAAGAGGGGCTCCCAGCACCCCAATGTCAAAGGGGGGCACTGAGCACCCCTATAGCAAAGAGAGGAGCTCCCAGCACCCCAATATCAAAGGGGGGGCACTCAGCACACCCCTTTTCAAGAGGGGCTCCCAGCACTCCAGTGTCAAAAGGGGGGCACTCAGCACCCCATGCACCAAAGAGGGGGGCTCCCAGCACCCCAATATCAAAGGGGGCGCACTCAGCACCCCTACAGCAAAGGGATGGGCTCCCACACCCCAATACCAAAGGGGGGGCACTCAGCACCCCCGTTTCAAGGCGGGGATGGGCTCCCACACCCCAATACCAAAGGGGGCACACTCAGCACCCCCGTTTCAAGGCGGGGATGGGCTCCCACACCCCAATACCAAAGGGGGCGCACTCAGCACCCCTACAGCAAAGAGAGGGGCTCCCAGCACCCCTGTGTCAAAAGGGGGGCACTGAGCACCCCATGCACCAAAGAGGGGCTCCCAGCACCCCAATATCAAAGGAGGAGCACTCAGCACCCCATGCACCAAAGAGAGGGGCTCCCAGCACCCCAGTGTCAAAAGGGGAGCACTCAGCACCCCATGCACCAAAGAGGGGGGCTCCCAGCACCCCAATATCAAAGGGGGCGCACTCAGCACCCCTACAGCAAAGGGATGGGCTCCCAGGACCCCAATACCAAAGGGGGGGCACTCAGCAGCCCCGTTTCAAGGCGGGGATGGGCTCCCACACCCCAATACCAAAGGGGGCACACTCAGCACCCCATGCACCAAAGAGGGGCTCCCAGCCCCAATACCCAAAGGGGCGCACTCAGCACCCCCGTTTCAAGGCGGGGATGGGCTCCCACACCCCAATACCCAAGGGGGCACACTCAGCACCCCATGCACCAAAGAGAGGAGCTCCCAGCACCCCAATATCAAAGGAGGAGCACTGAGCACCCCATGCACCAAAGAGAGGAGCTCCCAGCACCCCAGTGTCAAAAGGGGAGCACTCAGCACCCCATGCACCAAAGGGATGGGCTCCCAGCACCTCAATACCAAAGGGGCGCACTCAGCACCCCCGTTTCAAGGCGGGGATGGGCTCCCAGGACCCCAATACCAAAGGGGGGGCACTCAGCACCCCCCTTTCAAGGCAGGGATGGGCTCCCAGGACCCCAATACCAAAGGGGGCACACTCAGCACCCCATGCACCAAAGAGAGGAGCTCCCAGCACCCCAGTGTCAAAAGGGGAGCACTCAGCACCCCATGCACCAAAGGGATGGGCTCCCAGCACCCCAATACCAAAGGGGGTGCACTCAGCACCCCCGTTTCAAGCGGGGATGGGCTCCCACACCCCAATACCCAAGGGGGCGCACTCAGCACCCCATGCACCAAAGAGAGGAGCTCCCAGCACCCCAGTGTCAAAAGGGGAGCACTCAGCACCCCATGCACCAAAGAGAGGAGCTCCCAGCACCCCAGTGTCAAAAGGGGAGCACTCAGCACCCCATGCACCAAAGAGAGGGGCTGCCAGCACCCCAGTATCAAAGGAGGAGCACTCAGCACCCCATGCACCAAAGGGATGGGCTCCCAGCACCCCAATACCCAAGGGGGCGCACTCAGCACCCCATGCACCAAAGAGAGGAGCTTCCAGGGACCCCAATACCAAAGGGGGGGCACTCAGCACCCCCCTTTCAAGGCAGGGATGGGCTCCCACACCCCAATACCCAAGGGGGCGCACTCAGCACCCCATGCACCAAAGAGAGGAGCTTCCAGCACCCCAATACCCAAAGGGGCGCACTCAGCACCCCCGTTTCAAGGCGGGGATGGGCTTCCAGCACCCCAATACCCAAGGGGGTGCACTCAGCACCCCCGTTTCAAGGCAGGGATGGGCTCCCACACCCCAATACCCAAAGGGGCGCACTCAGCACCCCCGTTTCCATCCCTGACCTGTAGAAGAGGACGTTGAGCGGGATGGTGCCGATGTGCCAGAGCGCGTGGGCATCCAGCACCAGAGCAGGGGGGGAAGTCGAGCAGCTCCAGCAGCGCCAGCGCCTGCAGCAGCAGCACCACGGCCGCGCACTTCCAGACGTGGGGCAGGCGCGGGCGGTTCCGCAGGCACCACCGCAGCCACCAGGCCACGTTCAGCAGCCCTGGGGGGGGGAACGGGGATGCAGAGGGGAATAGGGGGTGATCCCCCCCCCATACACCCCATAGGTATATATAGGGGGACCCCCCATAGCAAAGCCCGAGCGCCGGGCTCACCGATGCCCGCGTTCGCTGCCATGTTGTAGCCGTAGTCGAAGCGGACGAGGCTCAGGTAGGAGATGTGGCAAGCGAGGAAGAGCAGGAGGAAGGCTCGGAAGATGCTGATTAAGGCTGGGCGCTGCAGCCCCAGTGTCCTGGGGGGGAGGAGGAGGAGGAGGAGGAGGAGGAAGGGCACTTCCATGGTCAGAGGGACCCACCCCCCCAGCATCCAAGGTTTGAAAGGGAGAACCCCAGCATCCCCATATTGAGAAGGAGCCCCCCAGCATCCCCATATTGAGAAGGAGCCCCCCAACACCCCCACGTTAAGAAGCAGCCCCCCAGCACCCCCATGTTAAGAAGGAGCCCCCCAGCATCCCCATATTGAGAAGGAGCCCCGCAACACCCCCACGTTAAGAAGCAGCCCCCCAGCATCCCCATATTGAGAAGGAGCCCCCCAGCATCCCCATATTGAGAAGGATCCCCCCAGCACCCCCATGTTAAGAAGGAGCCCCCCAGCACCCCCATATTGAGAAGGAGCCCCCCCAGCACCCCCATATTGAGAAGGAGCCCCCCAGCACCCCCATGTTAAGAAGCAGCCCCCCAGCACCCCCATGTTGAGAAGGAGCCCCCCAGCATCCCCATGTTAAGAAGGAGCCCCCCAGCACCCCCATATTGAGAAGGAGCCCCCCAGCACCCCCATATTGAGAAGGAGCCCCCAACACCCCCACGTTAAGAAGCAGCCCCCCAGCACCCCCATGTTAAGGAGCCCCCCAGCACCCCCACATTAAGAAGCAGGCTCCCAGCATCCACATATTAAAAAGGACCCCTCAGCACAGCCATACTAAGAAGCAGCCCCCCAGCACCCCCATGTTAAGAAGGAGCCCCCCAGCCCCCCACATTAAGAGGCAGCCCCCCCTGCACTGTGCAGCACTCACCTGACACAGCACAGGTACACGGAGTGCAGGACAACGGCCGAAGCACAGAAATAGTCCAGTTTCTGTGGAATGGGACAGGATGGGATGGATGGGATGGGATGGATGGGATGGGATGGGATGGATGGGATGGGATGGGGATGGATGGGATGGGATGGGATGGGATGGGATGGGATGGATGGGATGGGATGGGGATGGATGGGATGGGATGGGGATGGATGGATGGGATGGGACGGGATGGGATGGGATGGATGGGATGGGATGGATGGGATGGGACGGGATGGGATGGATGGGATGGGATGGATGGATGGGATGGGGATGGATGGGATGGGATGGGACGGGATGGGATGGGATGGATGGGATGGGATGGGGATGGATGGATGGGATGGGACGGGATGGGATGGGATGGATGGGATGGGATGGATGGGATGGGATGGGGATGGATGGGATGGGATGGGGATGGATGGATGGGATGGGACGGGATGGGATGGGATGGATGGGATGGATGGATGGGATGGGACGGGATGGGATGGATGGATGGGATGGATGGGATGGGATGGGATGGGATGGGATGGATGGGATGGGATGGGATGGGATGGGGATGGATGGGATGGGATGGGGATGGATGGATGGGATGGGACGGGATAGGATGGGACGGGATGGGATGGATGGGATGGGATGGATGGGATGGGATGGGATGGGATGGGATGGGATGGATGGGATGGGATGGGGATGGATGGGATGGGATGGGAGGGATGGGATGGGATGGGAGGGATGGGATGGGACGGGACGGGATGGGACGGGATGGATGGGATGGGATGGGACAGGATGGGATGGATGGGATAGGATAGGATAGGATAGGATAGGATAGGATAGGATAGGATAGGACGGGACGGGATGGGATGCGATGGGGCAGAACGGGATGGATGGGAGGGGATGGGACATGATGGGATGGATGGAGATGGGGATGGGATGGGGATGGATGGATGGGATGGATGGGGATGGGATGGGATGGATGGGATGGATGGGATGGGATGGATGGGATGGATGGGATGGGACAGGATGGGATGGATGGGATGGGATAGGATAGGATAGGACGGGATGGGATGGATAGGATGGGATAGGATGGGGCGGAACAGGATGGATGGGATGGATGGGATGGGATAGGATAGGATAGGACGGGATGGGATGCGATGGGGCAGAACGGGATGGATGGGAGGGGATTGGACATGATGGGATGGGATGGATGGGATGGGGATGGGGATGGAATGGGATGGATGGATGGGATGGGGATGGGGATGGGATGGGATGGGGATGGATGGATGGGATGGATGGGGATGGATGGAGATGGATGGATGGGATTGGATGGGATGGGATGGGATAGGATAGGATAGGATAGGATAGGATAGGATAGGATAGGACGGGATGGAATGTGATGGGGCAGAACAGGATGGGACATGATGGGATGGGGCGAGACGGGATGGGATGGACGGGAAGGACTGGACGGGACGAGCCCCGTGCGCAGCCCCTGCCCTGAGCAGCCCTGGGCAGCAGGAGCCAGCCCGGCTCTGGGGCCAGGAGGGGCCGCTCACCTCCGTCAGCGCCGTGTCCCTGGTGTGGAAAACCGTGGACCAGAACCAGGCGTTTAAGGAGACCTGGGGGAAAAGGGGGGGGGGGAACAAGGAGCTGCTGCCAAACACCCCCCACCGAGCAACCCCGGGCTGTGCCCCCCAGGCAGAACACCCCTAAACCAGCTCAGCTGAGGGGTTTAAGAGGGAGCCCCCAGCACCCCCATATTAAGAGGGAGCCCCCCAGCACCCCCATATTAAGAGAGAGCCCCCCATAACTTCCTGTTTTAAGAGGGACCCCCCCCCAGAACCCCCATATTAAGAGGGAGCCCCCCAGCATCCTCATTTTAAGATGAAGCCCCCCATAACCCCCATTTCAAGAGGGACCCCCCAGCACCCCCATTTTAAGAGGGAGCCCACCCTTAACCCCCTATTTTAAGAAGGAGACCTCCATAATCTCCTATTTTAAGAGGAAGCCCCCAGCACCCCCACTTTAAGAGGGAGCCTCCCAGCATCCTCGTTATAAGAGGGAGCCCCCCATAACCCCCCATTTCAAGAGAGAGCCCCCCGCACCCCCATTGTAAGACGCAGCCCCCCCGCATCCTCATTTTAAGAGGCAGCCCCCCATAAGCCCCCATTTCAAGAGGGAGACCCCAGCACCCCCCATTTTAAGAGAGAGCCCCCCCATAACCCCCTATTTTAAGAGGAAGCCCCAGCACCCCCATTTTAAAAGGAAGCCCCCCCAGCATCCTCATTTTAGGATGAAGCCCCCCATAACCTCACATTTCAACAGGGCCCCCAGCACCCCAATTTAAGAGGGAGTCCACCCTTAACCCCCTATTTTAAGAGGGAGACCCCCATAACCCCCCATTTCAAGAGGAACCCCCCCAGCACCCCCATTTTAAGAGGGACCCCCCCCTTAACCCCCCATTTCAAGAGGCAGCCCCCAGCACCCACATTGTCAGACGCAGCCCCCAGCACCCCTCACCCCGTTTCAAGCGATGCTGTGGGGCAGGGAGGGAGGAGGGAGGAGGTGGGGTGGTCCCCATGTGGGGCAGGGATGGAGGTGGGGGTGGTCCCCATGTGGGGCAGGGATGGAGGTGGGGGGTGGTCCCCATGTGGGGCAGGGATGGAGGAGGGGGGGGTGGTCCCCATGTGGGGCAGGGATGGAGGTGGGGGGGGTGTTCCCCATGTGGGGCAGGGATGGAGGAGGTGGGGGGGGTGGTCCCCATGTGGGGCAGGGATGGAGGAGGGGGGGTGGTCCCCATGTGGGGCAGGGATGGAGGAGGGGGGGGCGGTCCCCATGTGGGGAAGGGATGGAGGAGGGGGGGTGGGTCCCCATGTGGGGCAGGGATGGAGGAGGGGGGGGTGGTCCCCATGTGGGGCAGGGATGGAGGAGATGGGGGGGGGTCCCCAAGTGGGGCAGGGATGGAAGAGGGGGGATGGTCCCCATGTGGGGCAGAGATGGAGGAGGGGGGGTGGTCCCCATGTGGGGCAGGGATGGAGGAGGGGGGGTGGTCCCCATGTGGGGCAGGGATGGAGGAGGGGGGGTGGGGGTCCCCATGTGGGGCAGGGATGGAGGAGGGGGGGTGGTCCCCATGTGGGGCAGGGATGGAGGAGGTGGGGGTGGTCCCCATGTGGGGCAGGGATGGAGGAGGGGGGGTGGTCCCCATGTGGGGCAGGGATGGAGGAGGGAGGGTGGTCCCCATGTGGGGCAGGGATGGAGGAGGGGGGGTGGTCCCCATGTGGGGCAGGGATGGAGGAGGGGGGGTGATCCCCATGTGGGGCAGGGATGGAGGAGGGGGGGGGTCCCCATGTGGGGCAGGGATGGAGGAGGGGGGGTGATCCCCATGTGGGGCAGGGATGGAGGAGGGGGGGTGGTCCCCATGTGGGGCAGGGATGGAGGAGGGGGGGTGATCCCCATGTGGGGCAGGGATGGAGGAGGGGGGGCTGGTCCCCATCTCACCCAGGCGAAGGCGACGCAGGTGGGGTACATGGGGGAGGCGGGGGGCACGGTGGCTTTGTAGCGCAGCAGCATGAGGAAGGAGGCCAGGCCATTGAGGAAGGAGGCGAAGGCAGAGGCGGGCTCCTGGAAGAACAGGAACCTGGAGAAGGGCCACTGCAATGGGGAACAAAAAGGGGGGGGTTAAGGGGGGTAAAAGGGGGGGAACCCCCCCCCCATCTCCATTACCCCCCCCCAGCCTCACCTTGCCATGGAACTGGGGCACCCGGTGGCCCCGCTGCAGGTAGAGCCGCACCGTCAGCCACATGCACTCGTACTTGCAGTCGTCGCGGCAGGTCCAGCCTATGGGGCAATGTGGGGGGGGGGGTCCTTGGTCTTCCCCAGTCCCCCCCAGTATGGGCCATGGGGGGTACTGGGAGGGCCAGGAGCCAGCTCAGAGGGGGGTATGGGGGGCTTCACCCCTGTGCGGTGCTGGGCATAGGGAGGGCACCCAAGGGGGTGCTGGCGGCTCCCAGTGGGGTCCTGAATGGTCCAATAGGGGCCCCCGGTGTGGGTCAGTGTCTTCCCCCCCCCAGTATGGCCCAGTGAGCCCCAGCACCTCCCAGCATGACTCCAGCACAGTCACCAGTATGGCCCAGTGCCTACCAATACAGCCTGAGTGACCCCCAGCATGGTGCAATGCCCCCAGCACTGAACCACAACACCCCAGTGCCCCCCAGCACGGCCCGGCAGCCTCCAGTATGGACCAGTGCCCCCCAGTCCAGCCCCAGTGCCCCCGAGCACTGCCCAGTGATCCCCAACATGGCCCAGTGCCTCCCAGTCCAGCCCAGCAGCCTCCCAGTGAGGCCTCAGGACAGCCCAGTGACTCCCAATGCATCCCCAGGGCTTCCCAATGCATCCCCAGGGCTTCCCAATGCTTCTCAGTGCTTCACAATCCATCCCAGTCCTTCCCAGTCCATCCCAGCTCTTCCCAATCCATCCCAGCCCTTCCCAACCAATCCCAACCCTTCCCAATCCATCCCAGCCCCTCCCAGTCCATCCCAACCCTTTCCCAGTCCTTCCCAATCCATCCCAACCCTTCCCAGTCCTTCCCAACCCTTCCCAACCCTTTCCCAGCCCGTCCCAACCCATCCCGGTCCATCCCAGTCCATCCCAGCCCTTCCCAGTCCTTCCCAACCCTTTCCCAATCCTTCCCAATCCATCCCAACCCTTCCCAGTCCTTCCCAACCCTTTCCCAGCCCTTCCCAACCCATCCCGGTCCATCCCAACCCATCCCGGTCCATCCCGGTCCATCCCAGTCCATCCCAGCCCTTCCCAGCCCTTCCCAGTCCTTCCCAACCCTTCCCAGTCCATCCCAGCCCTTCCCAACCCTTCCCAATCCATCCCAACCCTTCCCAGTCCATCTCAACCCTTTCCCAGCCCTTCCCAACCCATCCCGGTCCATCCCAGTCCATCCAGCCCTTCCCAGTCCATCCCAACCCATCCCAACCCTTTCCCAGCCCTTCCCATCCCATCCAGGTCCATCCCAACCCTTCCCAGTCCATCCCAATCCATCCCGATCCACGCCAGCGCCTCCCAATCACCCGCCCTGGGGGGGGAGAGGGCGTGGCCTCGCGTCAGCCCCGCCCCCGTAGCGGGCGTGTCCCGCTGTGGCGGGCCGCGGCAGCCAATGGGCGCAGGGGGGCGGTACCTGTGAGCCCCATGTAGAGCGGCTGGCGGGCGCGGAAGCCGCGCAGCGCCGCCCCGGAGCAATTGTGGCGCTCGCAGCGGCCCAGGCACTCCCGGTACAGCGGCTCCCGGTCCCCCTGCGAGCCCCGCGCCGGGGACGGCGCCGTCGCCGCTCCCAGCAGCAGCAGCAGCGCGGCCCGCGCCGCGCCACAGGCCGCCATTGCCCCGCAACGGCCGCTTCCGGCACCGCCCGGAAACGGGGGCGGCGCGGGGCATGGTGGGATACAGTTCCCCCAGCGGGGCGGGGGATCATGGGATATATCCCCCCAAGGCACCTTGCGCAGGGGATCATGGGATATGTGTCCCGTGTCTTTCCCCCCCGGGGCCCATATGTGTACCGGGGGCTTGGGGTCCGCTAGGGTCAATGGGGTCCGCTAGGGTCAATGGGGTCCTCTAGGGTCAATGGGGGCTGGGGTCCTCTAGGGTCAATGGGGTCCACTAGGGTCAATGGGGGCTATGGGGTCCTCTAGGGTCAGTGAGGGCTGGGGGTCCGCTAGGGTCAATGGGGGCTTGGGGTCCGTTAGGGTCAATGGGGGCTATGGGGTCCTCTAGGGTCAATGGGGGCTATGGGGTCCGCTAGGGTCAATGGGGGCTATGGGGTCCTCTAGGGTCAATGGGGGTATGGGGTCCTCTAGGGTCAATAAAGGCTGGGGGTCCGCTATGCTCAACGGGGGCTATGGGGTCCTCTAGGGTCAATGGGATCCTCTAGGGTCAATGGGGTCTATGGGGTCCTCTAGGGTCAATGGGGGCTGGGGGTCCGCTAGGGTCAATGGGGGCTATGGGGTCCTCTAGGGTCAATGGGGGCTATGGGGTCCTCTAGGGTCAATGGGGGCTGGATGTCCCCTAGGGTCAATGGGGGCCTCTAGGGTCAATGGGGGCTTGGGGTACGCTAGGGTCAATGGGGGCTATAGGGTCCTCTAGGGTCAATGGGGGCTTGGGGTCCGCTAGGGTCAATGGGGGCTATGGGGTCCTCTAGGGTCAATGGGGGCTATGGGGTCCACTAGGGTCAATGGGGGCTATGGGGTCCTCTAGGGTCAATGGGGGCTATGGGGTCCGCTAGGGTCAATGGGGACTTGGGTCCGCTAGGGTCAATGGGGGCTATGGGGTTCTCTAGGGTCAATGGGGGCTATGGGGTCCGCTAGGGTCAATGGGGGCTATGGGGTTCTCTAGGGTCAATGGGGGCTGGGGGTCCCCTAGGGTCAATGGGGGCTATGGGGTCCTCTAGGGTCAATGAGGGCTCAGGGTCCTCTGTGGTCAATGGGGACTGTGGGGTCCCCTGTGGCCGATGGGGGCTGTGGGGTCTGGCTGGGGCCATGGGGCAGCGTGGCTGTGGACCATGGGACGAGGACCCCGAGGTGGCCGCTTGGGTTCCAAAGTGGGGGGTCCCTGCCCCCCCCGTGCCACCCCTTTGCCTTCTGCTCCTGCTCCCCCTTGGGGGCTGCGGGTGATCCATGGGGATGAGGTGGCCGATGGGGGCCTGGTTGGAGATCCATCCCTATGTGCACCCTGCTCCTCTTGCCCAGGGGGGCTGCATGGGGCTGGGCACAAGCGGGGTGCCCATCGTGGGCTGCGATGCTCCCGCGGGACCCCAAAACCTCACCAGGAGCAGCGGTTGAGGGTTCACCAATGGCTTGTGCCTGTGGTGGGGGGCAAGCGCCGGCTCTGGTCACCTCACTGGGGAGTCATGGGGTGATGCTGGAGTGGCCCCATGGCCCTGTCCCCTAGAACTGCCCCGCTCCATGAGGATTGTCCCTGTACCCCAGGAGTGGCCCCATGCCCAGGACTCCCTTTACCCCACAGTTGTCCCTGTACCCCAGGATTATCCCTGTACCCCAGGGAGTGCCCCCATGCCAAGGATTCCCTGTACCCCAGGATTATCCCTGTACCCCAGAAGTGTCCCCATGTCCCTGTACCCCAGGATTATCCCTGTACCCCAGGATTGTCTCTATACCCCAGGAGTGCCCCCATGTCCCTGTCCCTTAGGGGTGTCCCCATGCCCAGGATTATCCCTGTACCCCAGGAGTGCCCCCATGCCAAGGATTCCCTGTACCCCAGGATTGTCCCTGTACCCCAGAAGTGTTCCCATGTCCCTGTATCCCAGGATTATCCCTGTACCACAGGAGTGCCTCTATATCCCAGGAGTGCCCCCATGTCCCCGTAACCCAGGATTATCCCTGTACGCCAGGAGTGTCCCCATGTCCCCGTACCCCAGGATTATCCCTATACCCCAGAAGTGTTCCATGTCCCCATACCCCAGGATTGTCCCATGTTCCCGTACCCCAGGATTATCCCTATACCCCAGAAGTGTTCCCATGTCCCCGTACCCCAGGATTATCCCTGTACCCCAGGATTGTCCCCATGTCCCCGTACCCCAGGATTATCCCTGTACCCCAGGATTGTCCCCATGTCCCTGTACCCCAGGATTATCCCTGTACCCCAGGAGTGCCCCCATGCCCTGGACTGTCCCTGTACCCCAGCGCTGCCCCCCGATCCCCACACCCAGCAGCAGCATCCCATCCCCGCCGTGCCCCGGTCACCGTCACCCCCAACCGGGCCAATTGAGGGGACAGGGACCGAGCTCCTGCGTGTGTCCCCCCCCCCCCCACCAAAGCCTCCGCACCCCGGGGGTTACGGGGACGAGCACCCCGGGAAGGGGATGGGGGGGGGGGGTGTGTCCGGTGCATCGGAGCGCGCACGGAGGAGCTGGGAGGGGGTGACGGGACCGGGACGCGCCCTCGCCCGGGGGCCGGGAGCGCTGCGCGGCCCCGTGAGGCGGAGCCGGGAGCGGCGGGAGGCGGCGGCTCCGCACCGCAAACTTTCCCGGAGCGGCCGGCGGGGGCCATGGGCCGCGGCCCGCGCTGAGCACCATGAACCCCGCCGGGGGCTGCCTCCTGCTGCCGCTGCTGCTCCTGCTCCTGCTCCGAGCCGCGCTCTGCAGCCCCCCCGCCGCCGCCGCCGAAGGTGGGTCCGGACCGAGCGGTACCGGGGAATGGGGGGGGGGGGGGGAACGGGAACGGGAGGAGACCGGGAGGACTTTGAGCAAAGTTTTGCATTGGGGGGGGGCGGGCACCGGGTCCGGTGCTCCCGAGGGTCTCTCGGTTCGAAGTGACCGGACCCCCCCGGCTTTACAGCTCCGAACGGGACGAGACCCGGTCCGCTCCCCCGGGCCGGGTTTGGGAGTCCCGGGGTCGCGGACACCCCCCCCCCCCCCCCCCCCAACCCGGGGTCGGTGCTGGCGCTGTCCCGGTAGCACCGGAGGGGAAGCGGGTTCCGGGGGGAGCCCAACCGGGTGTTTGGGGGGGGGGTGCCCCACGGAGCGCGGGTGGGTGGCGGTGGGTGCGTCCCCGTCGCTCCCATCCACATTCTCGACGTGCCGCACCCTGCCCTGCCCGGCAGAGCGGCCGGGGGGGAGCGTTGGAACCGGGGCAGGAGCGGGGGGGAGCGGCCCCCAAAGTGACCGTCGGGGTTTGACGCCGTAGGCCCTGTGTTGGGGGGGGGGTTTGGGGTCATTGGGTGCTCTCTGCTCCCGGCACCCCACAGCTCGCCCTGCTCTGAGGGTCTGTGCGTTGGGAACGCAGCAGGGTGCTCCCAGTCTGGATCCATGCGTTGGGAATGAGCGGCGGCACCAGCTCCGGGAGCAGCCGGGGCAGCCCCACGGGCATGTGGCCGATGGGCTCCGCTGGATGCTCCGGGGGTTGCCCTTGGGCAGACGGGGTCATCCATGGAGATCGGGGTCCGGGCAGCGTGGATCACTGAGCTGCCTGGGTCAGTGATCCTCAATGGAGGAGCAGCCAGGCCCGAAGCCCATGGCATGGAGCCGGGATCCCGCCTGCCCTTCTCCCTGGGGAACCCGGTGGCATCCCCTGCCCGCGCTGCGGGGCAGACCTGGCGCTTTGGCTGCTGGCTCCGACAGCTCAGAGCCCGTCCCCCCCCCCGGTGCCATGGGGCGAGAGCTGAACCCCAACCCCGGGGGGCTCCCCCTTTCTGGCCGTGCCAAGGGGGTGTTTTCCATGGCTCGGCGGCCTTGGAGGCGGCTCCATGCGCAGCTGCCCGCACCGGGGGCTGTCACTCAGCCGTGGCGCAGCCGCCAGCCCCCGAGGGACACCGGAGCCTCGCCGGCATCGAGGACACCGGGCGCGGTGCGGCGGCACCGGAGCCGTTGTGTGGGCTCCACACGGTGCCGGGGGCCGCGGGTGTGCCCGGGGCTGCGCCGTGCCCTGCGTCACCGCTGCTCCCCAAACACGCCCGACCTGAAAAGGCGGTTCCTGCCGGGGCCCGGTGCCACCCGCGGCCGTGACTCACCGGGCCCGGGGCGCCCGCCCCGACGCCACGGGGATGGTCGCGCTCCGGCGGCCATCGAAGCCCAACAACAATCAGGGCTTGTCTCTTCCAGCCCCCCCCCCCCTCCCTCCCTCCCTTCTTCCCTCCTTCCAACCAGCGTGGGCAGAGCAATTCCTGCCCCCCGGCCCCTGCTCCGCATGGCCGCGGTTATGGGTCCCTTCCCCATAACCCAGCGTGGGCACCGCGGTGATGTTGCCCTCCCCCGGTTGTCCCTGGCGTGGGGCCGGTTGCCAAAGCGGGAGCAGCCTCGCCGCGTGCCGGGCTGGGAGCAGCGATGCAGGAAGCCCATCGGAAGCTGTTGGGAGCAGCCCCGGAGATAAACGGAGCCGTGGCATTTCCTGCGGGGGCCTCAGGGATGAGGATGGGACGGGGCGAGGGGACCCCGCTGAGCTCCTGCTCCGTGCCCACAGTGTGCACGGGCACCGACATGAAGCTGCTCCGGCCCTCCAGCCCCGAGAGCCACTACGAGACCCTGCGGCACCTGTACCAGGGCTGCCAAGTGGTGCAGGGCAACCTGGAGCTCACCTACCTGCCCGCCGACGCCGACACCGCCTTCCTCAAGGTGTGCAGGGTGGGGAAGAACACCCCATGGTGAGAGCAGGGGGGCACGCAGCGGGGTCCATCCTGCTCCTCACCCCTGTCCCCGCATCCATAGGACATCAAGGAGGTGCAGGGCTACGTGCTCATCGCCGAGAACCAAGTGACGGGCTTGGAGCTGCAGAACCTGCGCATCATCCGGGGCACGCAGCTCTTCCAGGACCGCTTCGCCTTGACCGTGGTGGGCAACGCCGGCCCCGGCGGCGCGCAGGGGCTGCGCCAGCTCGGCATGCGGCACCTCACGGGTCAGGGACCCTTCCCCGGGGTTCTTGGGTGCTCCCCGTGGCTGTCCCCGTGCTGACGGCCCCCTCTCCACCCCGTCCATCTCCCACAGAGATCCTAAAGGAGGCGTGCGCATCGAGAGCAACCCGCAGCTCTGCTTCCAGGAGACCATCCTGTGGGCCGACATCTGCCACCGGCACAACGAGCTCCGGGGCGAGATCCGTGTGGAGAGCACCCGCAGCCGAACCTGTGAGCCCCGGCGTGGTGGTGGCGGTTGAGGGGGGTACCCGGGGAAGGGGGTCCTGCCCCACGGCGTCGCCCGCTCACGGCATTCCCGGCGCAGGTCCCGACTGCCGGGCGCTGTGTGCCGAGGGGCACTGCTGGGGCGAGGGGCCGCGGGACTGCCAGACATGTGAGTACGGAGCCTGCAGCCCCCCCCCGGGACCCCCAAAACCCATGGGAAGCCTTTCCCTTTGCGTGCTCCTGCCGCATTGATCCCATTGGATCAATGGTCATGGAGCCCCCCCCTTGAACTTCCTGCTTGGTTGTCCCTGTCCCTCTCACCCCTATTTGGCACCCAACCCCCTGCCTGAGCATCCCCATTTGTTGTCGTCCCCCCCAGATCCCTGCCCTGGGAACCCACCTCCTCCCCCAGGGCACCCCCACATCCCCTTATCGGGGTCCCCATCCCCACCAGCTCCCTTTCCCCCCCCCTCCCATCCCAGTGACCAACAGCATCTGCCACGGGTGCCCGCGCTGCAAGGGCACGAAGCCGACCGACTGCTGCCACGAGCAATGCGCCGCCGGCTGCACCGGCCCCAAGCACTCCGACTGCCTGGTGCGCACCGGGATGGGGCGGGCACACCGGGAACGGGATGGGATGGGATGGGATGCCGGGATCTCACACCACCCCATTGTGCATCCCCCCACCCCTCCAACCCCAGGCGTGCCTGAACTTCAACCGGAGCGGGATCTGCGAGCTGCATTGCCCCCCACTCGTCATCTACAACTCGGACACCTTCGAGTCGGTGCCCAACCGCGATGGACGTTACACGTTCGGGGCCAGCTGCGTGAGCCAATGTCCCTGTGAGCACCGTGCCAATGGGGACCGGGTTGGGGTCCGGTGCTCACCGTGGCCCTGACCGTGTCGTCGTCGTCCCCCCTAGACAATTACCTCGCCACCGAGGTGGGGTCCTGCACCCTCGTGTGCCCCCACAACAGCCAGGAGGTGACGGTGAACAACGTGCAGAAGTGTGAGAAGTGCAGCAAGCCCTGCCCCGAGGGTGAGCAGCGCCCCAGAGCCGTCCGTGAGGGGGCTGTGGGGCAGGAAGGAGCAGGGCTTTGGGGGTCCTGATGGAGCACCCCAGCCCCGCTGTGCCTCCCCGTCCTCCCTGCAGTGTGCTATGGGCTGGGAGTGGATTTCCTCAAGGGCGTCCGTGCTGTGAACGCCTCCAACATCCAGCACTTCACCGGCTGCACCAAGATCTTCGGCAGCTTGGCCTTCCTCCCCGAGACCTTCGCCGGGTAACTCCTGGTTCCCCCCCTCCTCCTCGAGCCCATGGTGGGGACCCCCTCCCAACCTCCCTCCCGTCCCGGCAGGGACCCCAGCACCAACACAGCGCCCCTGGACCCCAAACTGCTGCGCATCTTCGAGAGCCTGGAGGAGCTGACGGGTGAGGACCGGGCGCTGGGGGCTTTGTGTGTGTGTGTGGGAGGGGGGGACCACAGCGCGGTGACACTCGGTGCTCCCCACAGGCTACCTCTACATCGCTGCCTGGCCGCCCGGATGGAAGGACCTGGGGGTCTTCCAAAACCTGCGCATCATCCGGGGCAGGGTGCTGCACAAGTGAGCAGGGATGGGGACACGGGGAATGGGGGGATGTGGGGACCAGGAGGGTGTGGGGATCAGGGGGGTGTGGGGACACAGGGGGGATGTGGGGAACAGGAGGGTGTGGGGATTGGTGGGATGTGGGGATCAGGGGGGTGTGGGGACACGGGGATGTGGGGATTGGGGGGATGTGGGGACCAGGAGAGATGGGGGGGGGGGGGGGGAACGGGGCATAGGAGGGGATGTGGGGACATGGGGGATGTGGGGACATTGTGGGAATAGGGGGGATGTGGGCACATGGGGGGGATATAGGGTATATATGGGGGGATGTATGGGGGGGATATAGGGTATATATGGGGGATGTATGGGGGGATATAGGGTATATATGGGGGGATGTATGGGGGGATATAGGGTATGTATGGGGGGATGTATGGGGGGATATAGGGTATATATGGGGGATGTATGGGGGGGATATAAGGTATATATGGGGGGATGTATGGGGGGATGTATGGGGGGATATAGGGTATATATGGGGGGATGTATGGGGGGATGTATGGGGGGATGTATGGGGGGATGTATGGGGGGATGTATGGGGGGGGATGTATGGGGGGGATATAGGTTATATATACGGGGAGGATGTATGGGGGGATGTATGGGGGGATATAGGGTGTATATATGGGGGGGATGTATGGGGGGGATATACGGTGTATATATATGGGGATGTATAGGGGGGATGTATAGGGGATATGGGGGGTGTATGGGGTGATGCATAGGGGATATAGGGTATATATATGGGGGATGCATGGGGGATGTATAGGGAGAGATATAGGGGAGTATATGGGGGAATGTATAGGTGGTATAGGGAATATGTATGGGGGGATGTATAGGGAGGGATATGGGGGTATATAGGGTATATATATGGGGATGTATAAGGGAGTATATAGCGTATATATGTGGGGGGATGTATGGGGTATATAGGAGTGTATAGGGGTATATAGGAGTATATGGGGTGTATAGGGGGTATATAAGGGTATATAGGGTATATAGGGAGGTATATAGGCAGTATGTTATATAAGGGATATATAGAAGTATATAGGAGTACAGGGGTGTTTAGGGAGTATATAGGGAGTATATAGGGGGTATATGGAGAGTATGGGGTGTTTAGGGGGGGATATAGGGGAGTATGTAAAGATATATATTGGGGTATACAGGGAGTATATGGGGTATATAGAGGTATATGAGGTATAGTATAGGGGGATATAGATACACGAAGGTATATACATAGAGGCGTATATATAGGGGTGTATATAGTGGTACATAGAGGTATAGATATTGGGGGGATACAGGGGTATATGGGGGGAGATGGGGTACATAGGAATATATATAGGGGTATATACAGCGGTATAGAGACGTATATAGGGGTGTATATTGAGGGTATAGGGGGGTACATATGGGGTATATAGGAAATATATAGGGGTGTATATAGAGGATATAAGGGTATATATGGGGTATATAGGAAATATATAGGGGTGTATATGGAGGATATAAGGGTATATATGGGGTATATAGAAAACATATGGGGGATGTGGGAGAACACAGGGGTAGAAAAGGGGGTAATGGGGGGAAAGGGAGGAACGGGGGGAGGAGAGGGAGAACCCAGGTTAACAACTGAACCTTCCTAGACCCCACACAGACCCACAATGACCCCCCACTGACCCCCAAATCCCCCCATAGACACCCATAGCCCACCATAGATCCCCCATAGACCCCCATAGGCCCCCTATAGACCCCCATACCTCCCACAGCCACCCATAGACCCCCACAGACCCCCGTAAAACCCTCCATAGCCTCCACATAGACCCCCATGCCCCACATAGGCCCCTATAAACCCCAATAGCCCACATAGGCCCCCATTACCCCCCCATAGAGCCCCATAACCACCCCATATCCCCCCATAGCCCCCCATAGACACCTATATCCCCCTATACCCCCCATAGCCCCCTATATCCCCCACAGGCACTCACAGCGCCGGATGAGCGCCTGCTCCCCATAGGGGGGCACCACAAAGGCCTCGCGGAAGAACCAGAGCACGTTCACGAGCCACAGGAAGGGCAGGAGCGCAAAGCCCCCTGGGAAACAGCGCCTATAGCGGTTATGGGGCGAGGGGGGATATGGGGGGCTATGGGGGTCTATGGGGGGGCTATGGGGGGTCTATGGGAGGGATATGAGGTCTATAGGGGGTTATGGGTGGGGAAAAGGAGGACTATGGGGAGGAAAAGGGGGTGTATGGGGGTCAATGGGGATCTACAGGGGTCTATGGGGGTCTATAGGGGTTTATGGCGGGGGCAAAGTTGGTCTATGGGAGGAAAAGGGGGCCCACGGGGGGCTACAGATGTCTATGGGGGGGGGAAGTGGGTCTATGGGGAGGAAAAGGGGCCTGTGGGGGTCTATGGGGCATTATGGGGGAAGGAGGTTTATGGGAGGAAAAAGGGGGTCTATAGAGGGTCTAAGGGGATCTATAGGGGATTATGTGGGGGGGAGAGGGGGTCTATGGTGGTCTATAGGGGTCTGTGGGGGTCTATAGGGGTTTATGGCGGGGCAAAGTGGGTCTATGGGGAGGAAAAGGGGACCTATGGGGGGCTATAGGGGTCTATGGGGGCTCTATAGACATCTATAGGGGATCTATAGGGCTCTATAGGTGCCATGGGGCTCACCCAGGTAGTACTTGCGGCACAGCTCCAGCTTGTCCTCATTGGAGACGCGCTCCAGGTTCATCTGCGCCCCACAACTCAGCTCTGCCCACAAGTGACCCCCCCCGGCCCCATAACCACCCCCTGGGACCCATAACTGCCCAATAACCACGCCCTGGGACCCATAACTGACCCATAGGTCCCATAACTGCCCCACAGGTCAGATAACTGCCCATAACCCCCACTTGGGACCCATAACTGCCCCATAGGACCCATAACTGCCCCTTGGGACCCACAACTACCCCACAGACCCCCTTGGGACCCCATAACTGCCCCATAATCACCCCCTGGGACCCATAACTGCCCCATAGCCCCCCCTTAGGACCTATAACTGCTCCACAGTCCCCCATTGGGACCCATAACTGCCCCACAGCCCCCCATTAAGACCCATAACTGCTCCACAGCCCCCCCTTGGGACCCATAACTGCCCCATAACCCCCCACTGGGACCCATAACTGCCCCATAACCCCCCACTGGGACCCATAACTGCCCCATAGCCACCCATTAAGACCCATAACTGCCCCCCCACTTTGGGCCCCACAAGCCCCAGGCCCCGCTCCGTTACCTCCACACCACCGCCACAGGCCCCAAGCCGCGCTTCCGCTTCCGGCCCCGCCCCTTCCGGCGCGGGCGCAGCGGCGCTCAGCCAATGGGAGCTCGGTGAGGGCGGGGCCAAAGGGGAAAGCAGGGACGGGATTGGACAGCGCGGGGAGGGGGGAATGAAGGGGCGGAGCCGGGGGTGTGGCGTTGCCATAGAGACGGGGGCTTGGCCAATGGGGATGGGACTCTGGGGAAGAGGCGGGGCCAACGCGGAGGGGAGGGTTTACCATAGAGACGGGACAGCCAATAGGAACAGAGAGCGGGAGAGGGGGGTGTGGCAGGGGGAAAGGGGCGGATCCATATAAGGAAAGGGGTGTGGCCTCGATTATTGTGGGCGGAGCCTGCGGGTACAAACCCCACAACCCACCCCAAAACGGCCCCAAAGGGGTCCCGGCCCCCACGTGGGGCGCGGGTGCCCCACAGCACCCATGGGTGCTCCTCACTGCACCCAACGACGGGTCCCGCCTCCTGCCGCTTCCCCATTGGCTGGAGGCATCCCCAGGGCTGCCATTGGCCCCGAATCTCTGCTCCCCATTGGCTGGGGGTTGGTGTCCATTGAGAGCTCCTGGCTCCCCATTGGCTGGGGGCTTGTGTTTATTGACTGTCCCTGGCTGCCCATTGGCTGGGGTTCAGTTGGGCCCCATAAAGGCTCCCCATTGGCTGGGGGGGGTTGGCGTCCCTTGAGCATTCCTGCCTCCCCGTTGGCTGTGCCCCATAGCGGCTCCCCATTGGCTTGGGGTTGGTGTCCATTAAGTGTTCCTGGTTCCCCATTGGCTGTGCCCCATAGCGGCTCCCCATTGGCTGCAGGCATCTCAAGGGCTTTGGGGCCACCTCCATAGCTCCTCCCCCTGACCTCCCATTGCTCTCCATCACCCCCCATTGACCTCCATCCCCCCCCATTGACCTCCATCCCCCCCCATCCCCTGTAGGTACCTCCAGGACCCCACAACCACCTCCAGATCCCATCTCCATCACCTCCCGTTGACTGTAAGTATCTCAATGGCTATGGGGCCACCTCCATACCTCCTCTTTATGAGGTCCCATTGACCCCCAACCCCTTCCCATCCCCTATAGACACCTCCAAGACCCCATAACTGCCTTTAGATCCCATCTCCATCACTTGTAGGTATCTCAAGGCCATCGAGCCCACCTCCGTATCTCCTCCCCACTACCTCCCATTGACTCCAGATCATCACCGTTGCCTATAGACATCTTTAAGACCCCATAACTGCCTTTAGATCCCATCTCCATCACTTGCAGGCATCTCAAGGCCATCGAGCCCACCTCCGTATCTCCTCCCCATTACCTCCCATTGACTCCAGATCATCACTGTTGCCTATAGACATCTTTAGTACCCCATAACTACATCCAGATCCCATCTCCGTCTCTCCCCATTGCCCCCACCCCCACCCCCCCCCCCAACCCAGCCCCGCTGCCCCTCAGTTGAGGAAGCGCCGGCATCGGCGGGCGCCGCAGTTGCAGGGCAGCTTGGCGGCGGGCTCCTCGATGGGGAACTTGTAGTCGTAGGTGAGCTCCTCGCCGCGCAGGATGCGGCGCAGCGCGAAGATGACGATGTGCTTGGCGCCCTCCACCTGGATCACCCGCGGAGTAGCAGTTGGGCTCGCAGGAGTGGTTGATGAACCGCGCCGCGCTGCCGTGCATCGTGGCGTCCACCACCTCCGCCGCGTCCATGCGGAACATGTAGCACCCGATGCCCTGTCACGGGGAGGGGGTTAGGGGGAGATATGGGGCTTGGGGGGGGTTGTGGGGATTGGGGTAACTTATGGGGCTGGGGGGGAAGCTATGGGGATGGGGTGATGGGGGAGAGCTGTGGGGATGGGGGTAACTTATGGGGCTGGAGGGGAGTTATGGGGATGGGGAGGTTGTGGGGATGGGGAGAGTTATAGGGATGGGGAGGGAGCTATGGGGCTGGGGAGGGAGTTATAGGGATGGGGAGGGAGCTATGGGGCTGGGGAGGTTGTGGGGATGGGGAGGGAGTTATAGGGATGGGGAGGGAGCTATGGGGCTGGGGAGGTTGTGAGGCTGGGGAAGGAGTTAAGGGGCTAGGGAGGGAGTTACGGGGCTGGGGAGGGAGTTATGGGGCTAGGGGGAGAGTTATGGGGCTGGGTTGGAGTTACGGGGCCTGGGAGGTTGTGGGGCTGAAAAGGGAGCTATGGAGCTGGGGGGGAGCTATGGGGATGGGGGTGATGGGGATGGGGGAGAGCTATGGGGGTCGGGGTAACATATGGGGCTGGGGGGGGTGTGGGGATGGGGGTAACTTGTGGGCTGAGGAGGGAGTTATGGGGCTGGGGAGGTTGTGGGGCTGGGGAAGTTGCGAGGCTGCGGAGGGAGTTAAGGGGCTATGGAAGGAGTTATGGGGCTGGGGGAGGGAGTTATGGGGCTAGAGGGAGAGTTATGGGGCTGGAGGTAACTTGCGGGGCTGGGGGGGAGTTATGGGACTGGGGAGGTTGTGGAGCTGCAGAGGAGCTATGGAGCTGGAGGGGGGACCTATGGGGATGGGGAGGGAGTTATGGGGCTGGGGGGGAGTTATGGGGCTGGGTAGGTGACTATGGGGCTGGAGACGTCATTCTCATGGTATCCTCAATGCGTCCCAAATGGCATCTCTATGGTGTCCCTATGGCGCCCCTTTAGTATCCCCAAGGCACTGTTATGGGTCCCTCTATAGGGCTCTCTGTGGGTCCTGCTATGGGGTGCTATGGGGCTCTCTATAGGTCCCTCCATGGAGCTCTCTGTGGGGCTCTCTATGGGTCCCTCCATGGGGCTCTCTGTGGGGCTCTCTGTGGGTCCCTCCATGGGGCTCTCCATGGGTCCCTCTATGGGTCGCTGTGGGGCAGCCCCACCTTGCTGTCGTAGAACTTCTCCCTCTTGTCGGTGAGCACGGAGCGCACGACGATGCCCGAGTACTCGATCACCATCTCCCCGGCCTCGATGTTCCGCTTGCAGAACAGGCCCCGGCCGTGGATGGCCGAGCTGGAGGGCACGGCACCCATTGGCACCCATTGGTACGCACTGGCACCCGTTGGGACCCACTGACACCCATTGGCACCCATTGGTACGCACTGGCACCCGTTGGGACCCACTGACACCCATTGGGACCCATTGGTACCCATTGACCCCATTGGCACCCACTGGTACGCATTGGCACCCATCAGGACCCATTGACCCCATTGGCACCCATTGGTACGCATTGGCACCCATTGGGACACATTGGCACCCATTGACACCCATTGGGACCCACTGACACCCATTGGTACCCATTGACCCCATTGGCACCCATTACCTCCACTGGCAACCATTGACCCCATTGACACCCATTGGCACCCATTGATACCCATTGGCACCTATTCTTACCCATTGACCCCCATTGACCCCATTCACCCCACTGACCCCACTGGCACCA